TAATTCTGTGAAAAAATTATAAGAGGGGGGACGATTTTGAATGTTCGAGTGGCATCGAATGCAAGCGCACGTAATTAAAAAGTGCAAAAAACCTTAAACTATCAAATCACCATGCTTGCTCTATTCACAGCTCATGCCCATTCCCCTGTGTATACGCAAAATACGTTTCTGTTTCGTTCGTCGACCGGTTGGTTACGTTTCATCTGACCTCAGGGTTAAACACTAGCAAAGTCTCGCTTTTTTCATACGTAAGCGAGCCGGCTCGATGGAATAGTCCGAAGGGAAATCCCACGCATATCGGGTTTCGTTTACGCCAATCTATCCGCCCCGCACTTTTACACTAATGGTAACATCATTTGTACAGTGATCGTGAAAAAATACTTAAAAGTGTGTTTTTTACAGGGCAAACAAGCGCCGCGGAGTCGCCAAAAATCTTAACAAGGCATTTCAAGCAATTGTCAAGCTTAATTGGGTAGTTCAAATCCGTCGTCAAATCGCGTAGAACTGCTTCAACTCAGCGAGCTTGCTGCTTTGGCTTATATATGTTTAAAAACCTTTGAAGGTGATTGGATATGGTGCAGCGTATCCGTATTAGAGGCGGCCCTGGCGGTCTCGCGGTTTGGCGCGCTTCGCGCGAACGCGGAATAAATCCGGCTTGCAGACTGTCTATATTACTAACCTACCCGATTAAGCTAGTTTATAACGCTAGGCCTACCTCGGTTAAGCTATTTATAGCTAATCTTACCTGATTAAACTTTAGTATTAGCTAACCTACCTGAATTAAGCTTAATTATAGCTAACCTTAACCTGATTTAAGCTTAGTAACGAGATAAACTACAAGATTAAGCTCAGTAGAGCTAAACGCCTTACCTGATTAACTGTAGAACGCTGAACCTTACCAAGATTAAGCTTAGTATAGTTCGTTTACTGGTTTAAGCTATATAGCTGCTTTTACTGCGCTTGGAGGAAAGGCTGCACAGGCGTATCGTCGCCACGGCATGCGGGCACACGCGGTTCGTCATGCCTTGTTTGATTCATTCTGCGCGATACGCGCCATGTTAGTCCCTCCGCAGTTTCGGGTCGGCGGAGGAACTTTCTTACCGCAGCTCGGCACCTCTTTTTTGTGGCTCTCTGTGTTGCGGTGATGTTGATGCTGTGATGCATCGCCGCACGCACGCACGCCACGCCCGCACTTTCACGCATGCACCGCGCATAAAACACACCGCGGCACGGGCATACGCACACGCAACACACAACCACGCGCGGTCCACACACCACCCACAATTACGATATATATATATATATTATAAATATTATATATTTATATATATAATCTTATATATATACTATATTATGATATGAGAGAGTGGGGAGAGATGAGCGAGAGAGAGATTGGAGAGACTTTCTGCGACTCTTACCAGGCTCGCAACTCTTTTTGTGGGCTCTCTGCGGGCGAACGATTTGTGATTTGCACGCACTGCACGGCACGCGCGGCACTGACGGCACGCCACGCACGCCACGCACGTACGCGCGCACTCACGCACATACGCGGCGTTTAACGCACCGCCCTCACCACCGCCCCACGGCCCCTTCCCCCCACACACACACAAAACACAATATTATATTTTTTAATTTGATTTTTATATTTTATATATATTAATATTCATATATATATAATATATATATATATTATTCATTATGTATGTACAATGTTAGGGCAATGTAAGATAGGGGTTACCGATTCAATCTTACTCCACGGAACTCGTACAGGCTAATCAGCTTGAGTGCGTCGCCGGCATCGGGGACCGGACCACTGCGCCACGAGCGGATACTCCGGGTGCTTCTCATGCCACACCTTGTTGAAACGGCTGATTTAGGGTTCGGATTGTAGAATTCTGGCTTTACATCTATGGTCTCGAACTCATACACCTTGTCGGATAACTTCGCCATCGCCATCTTGACGTCTGCGGGCTGCGGCGGCGAGAACGTTGGTGATGGCAATATTGACGATCGAGCGCGCATCGCACAAGTTAATACAGGGGATGTTTTCTCATATTTCCCACATTTAAATGTTTAAAAAAAAATTCTAAAACGCGCATTTAATTTGCTACACTAACGCGCATTGCCTATGTTAGTGCAAACGAGGATTTTGTAACGTTACAACAAACGGGCACATATGTGAAATCTTACACGTATCACAGATGTAAATACAATACCTATTAGTCGAAATGCGCTTAAAATGTCCTCATACAAACGCACATTGCACATGTGAAACCAAACGCGTTCCTATGTTCAGTTCAATTTAAATCAATTCAAATTACTTCATTTACACATACGAATTACATTTTAGAGGTAATATATTAGTTAAACAAGATAACGCAAATGCGAATAACACGTTACAGGACGATACAACTTTACCTATGATCATCTAAACTGGACATCACATATATTTACCTTGAGGTGAAGAGACGCTAGAGGAAGGGAGAGCGCACGAGAGGCGGCAGTATGAAGGTGCCCGAGCGCGGAGCAGCCCAGGTATTTATACCCTCTCTTCCTGGGTGGTTATTGACGTTGGCGTCACGGCTCGCCTCCCACGTCATCCGGGATGGCCCGGCGAATTTCAGCAGAACAATGCGGGAAAATGTCAAGGTTTAAAAAGATGGGAGCGATGAAGAGAGGGAAAGAAGGCGAAGAAGGATAGGGAAGGGAATAAGAATTGGGGAGAGGGGGAAGAAGAGGAGGAGGAGGAAGAGGAGGAGGAGGAGGAGGAGGAGGAGGAGGAGGAGGAAGGGGCAGGAGAAATAGAAGGTAACCTGATGTGCTAAAAGGAGGCAGAGGGGTACGCAGAAAAAGCGGAGGCAGAGGAGGAGGAAGAGGAGGAGGAGGAGGAGGAGGAGGAGGAGGAGGAGGCCAAGTAGTATTATACATCAGACTTGGAAGGAACAGACACCAGAGAGTCGATGTTAACTTACGTGTGTTTAGTAATGTTTGCTCTCAGCTAGCTATCGCATGCTTCGGTGTTTTTGCCACGGCAACTATATACCCCCACAACGAGGCCGGATCATTCTTGTTACCTCCTGAAGTTGGCCATACATCAATATTTTTCTAAGTGCCTGCTATCCGGGAATAATTGCCATGACACATATTTCGTACCTGGCGAGCGTAACTCAAGGACACGCGTGCGTCTTTCATCACCGAGGGAATGTTTTTCCGCTATGTGTTGACTATGCGTCTACGACTGACGTGCGTAGATTTGATAGACAATTTAATATATCATATACGAGCGCGCGAAAATAGTGTACGCGCGTATATTCCACAGAGTTCTTATATTCTCTATTACGTTCTCCACTAATATGATGAGAATTTGCGTGTACGTGCACATATTTAATATAAAACGCAGTATATTACGTATATGTCGTCAAAATAGAATACAGCAATTACACATGAAAGCTTTTAGAATGTATGTGTATGTGCGCGCGCGTGTGTGCGTGCGTGCGCGTGTGTTCGTGCGCGCGCGTGTGTGCGT